TAGATTAGAATCAATTGATTTTTTCAGCCTAAACTGGATGTCATAATCCCTCCAACCATAAGAGTTGGGTGACCGCTCTGCACCTTTTCTAATTGTTGCCATGTAACGAAATAAATTCATAGCTTGTGCAGAGTGCTTGGCACAGTAAATGGAGGCAAAAATTAAAAAAGCATCAGTCCATTGTGAAATGGACACAATTTTCTCATCTTTGTACTTAGGTTTAACTTGAATTAATCCATCATGATAAACAATGTGATGCTGAACATCTGAAACTGGTTCTTTGATTAGCAATTTGTTCAGAGCAACATACTCGTTATTTCAGATTTTTTCTTTCAATGCCTGAGAGACATGAGCACCAAGCATTGATACTACACTCTGAAAAGGTGTAGGCCTATCTATATCAAGTTGACAATTTATACCTGCTGTAGTGCCAGCTGTTGGTATATGCAACTGTGGCTCCACTGTCGGCTGGGTGGGTAAAGTCTGTACAACAGGAGTCTAGGTGTCTGCAGTCTCATAAACAGGCTGCAAGGGTACTGACTGGGCTAACGATCCATGGCTGACCACGTAACTTCTTGGTGGCACTGAAATAGCAGCCTCTGAATGGAGACCGGTGACTGTCGGAATGATGGGTTCAGTGGATGATACTGGGGATGCCTGGGTGGTCACCCTGGTGGCTACTATACTACGCTCAACAGAAGTCCTTGGTGGTGGCCTGGCATATGGGCTCTTTGCCTTCGATGCTCTTGCTTTATTGGCTCTCAACATGGCTCATAAAACAAAAGCAACATATTTTATTTTATTATTTTATTTTATTGTATTTTTTATTTTTATTTTATTTTATTTTTTTTCTTTTATTTATTTATTTATTTATTATTTTTTTTTATCATTGTTTATTTATTTATTTATTACTAAAGCATAATATAATTCATTGAAATTATATTTGTTTCCGTAAAATTTATTGAAATATTTTCAAGTTGTTTTTTTTTTTTTTTTTTTTTACAACATGGCTGACCTACCAGGCCAGGTTGAGCAGCTTTTCCTTAGAATAAATTTAAGAAAACTTGACTAAAAAGAGTAAATTTCATATTAAACAATTCAATTAATTGTTGTTAATTAACATCCGATTGATTAAACAAACTTACTTTAACTTTCTCTTCGTGATGCTTTGGATCTACTAAGAATTTTTCTTTGAGTTAAATTTCTGGCACCTAGCAGCTTTCTTGTTCAGCAGGAAAAGGAAGTTACCCTTGAGCATGCCCAGTTGCATAATTGTGAAAAGTACGAGTTATCGTTCTTACTATAGTGAGTAATTATGTGCTCAAAATAACCTAGTTTATCCAGAGAAGATAAACTTTAGTAGCTATTAATTTCATTCCTTATAATTTAATTTTCATTCATTTTGTGTAAGAAAAAAGATGATTGCCCTTAAAAATGACTTCAAATTTTACAAAATTTAAATGTATCGTCAGGCGGATAGATATGTTTCTGACGCAAGTCATTGTGACATGGGCAACCCAATTTATACGATATAAAATAAGTTTTTTTATCCAATCAAATACCGCGTTATAATAGAATTAAATTATAAGGCCTCGAACTTCGAGCCTGATTTAATTGTTGCTTATTTCACAAGGCAATATACATGTATAAATATATGTACAGTGAAACTTGCCTAATCCGGATGTTGTATAATCCAAAATCTTGCCTAATACAATATAAACTTTAAGTCCTTTTCAGTAAATTCGTTTGTTTAAAATGTTGTCTAATCCGGAATGTTGTCTAATCTGGCAAATTTCTTTGGAACGAGTGGTGTCCGGATAAGACAAGTTTTATTGTATATGTAAATATATATCCATGTTCAATGTAATTTTTTCAAATTCAATTTTGGGCATCAGTTTTAATACATATCTATCTTGACATTGTACGGTATTAGTATTATATTTGTATTATAATTATTATAACATAATTACACACGATTTATCCTCCTGGATTGGAAAATCTTAAATTGGTAATTACAAGTAAATGACTACGTCTGCACAATAAATACCTTAGGGCTATTTTCAGTCAGGTGGACATGCTAATTAAACAGCAATAATCTAACACAATGTTTAAAAATTATTTGGAGTAATATATGAAATTAAAACTTTACTTAAACTACTAGTAAAACATTTTAATAATTTTTTAGTGCTACATGTATGGCGCTAATTTCTGACTATTTGAGGTAGCACATTTTTTAAGGTTGGGGATGGGCACAAATAGACCATGTCAGGTTAGATGGAGTTTGAATCAGGTAGGATCACATTTAAAGGATCAGCTATATGCATCTGGCAAGACATTGACTTTGAGACTTAAAATGAGAATGTTCAGTGAGTTTCTATACATGTATACAGACATATATAGCTTTTGATGAAATAACGACTAGATACTGAAGCACAGAAAACATCGTTTAGTAGACAGTGATTTGTCATTAAGATAATGGATGCATACTTGTTTAGAGCATTGCTAGAAATTATGTTTTTGGTTTGTTTTTAATTTTATGTTTACATCAGCTATAGGCAGAAGTGAGCCTTTTGTTGTATAATGTTCACAATCTGTCAGTCTGTATGTTTAGGGTTTCTACATTTTAAACTCTTCTCCAGTAAGACTGTATGACTGGTGTATAAGTAACAAACTTGATATTTTTTCCCTAGTCATTTTAATATTTTAAATGCGTTTAGCTCTGATATTATAGAGGCAATTTCATTCAGGTTTAGTATATATCAGGAAAAAAAAACAACATTTTAATCTCAAGGATACAGTACTATCCTCATAGGATGTTAACAATGCCAAAACCTATTTAAAAAAATGAACAATATTTAAAAATTTCTTTTCCTTTGCATCAAGCAGACAAGCATATCATATTTGCAATTTGATAATGAGAAAAGAACTGTCTACCAAAATTGTGTTTTCAATGTCCCCTAGGTCTTGGGTTCAGGCCCCAGGATTAACTTGTCAAAATCCTCTTTATCATTGAATCAGGCCCCAAGGAGGGGGGCTATAAGCACATGTTACGCACTCCTGGACAGGTAACAGGCCAACTGGTTCATTTGTATGCATATTGTAAATAAAATGTTAATGTTTCAAAACTTTATTCAGAGTGATTATCATGAATGGGTTTTGAAAGTGGGAAATTGGTATTTTTGAATTGTTTGGTTTTGAAGAATTCATTAACAAAGAGATTGATATTAGTTCTAAAAATGCAATTATTTTTGTTCTTATTGCATTAAACACTATATGCAGCTATGTAAGCAACCACTTTGACACATGAAAATGCATTAGGAATATGTTTACGTTAAAAAAAGTAATTATAAATTTTCTTGTGACTGCACTTAGACACTATTTGAAACTGATTCATAGGTAATCTACCTGTAGTTTCACCTGAGTTCAAAATCTAGGTCATGTCAGTAATCAGGTTGTTCTACTGTCAGGTAAGACTCCAGTTTGATTTGTCTTCTACGTGTTTAAGAGGTATATGGTGCTGTAGGAACAGCTTTCAGACAATTGTTGATGAAAAATCTACTGTATCTGTTCAATATGACCTGAATGTATGAGCATTCAGGCATTTATAGCCAATATCATTTATGTTATGATGTTTTTATATCAAGTTTCAAATAAACCTATGTGTCAGGGTGCAACAAATGTGAGTTTTAGATAAATAAGGTGAGTCATCAATTATATTTTGGGGATTCTTCGTGAATTGCATGAGCTCAGTAGGAAAGTGTTTCTCTTGATTGTCCTAATATGTGAATCAATAACTTGAGAACATTTTTTTTTGGGGGGGGGGGGGGGGGGGCTAATAGAAAGCTTACAATATTCTTGGAGTTATATTTAAAGGTCATGATAGCTATGACAATTTCATATTTAAAAAAAAAAAAATTAGATGCAATAACTTGGATATTTTTAAACCTTCATACTTCTTGTTTATTGCATACAATGAAAAAGTGAGATTAAATATTTTTCTCAATTTGGGGATACATTGGTCAAAGATCAAGTCAAAGGTCAAGGTTATTGATATGAGCATGACGATGCATTGACTTGGGCATTTTGTAACCAACAGATTGTATTTCCTGCATATCTCACTGGGTCAAAGTCAAGGTCAAGTTATATTACTTTTTCTTGAACACTTTTTTCATTTAGAACATACACACACAAGCAACATTCACTAAACTTTAAAAAAAAACCTCAAAGGATAAAGGACAAAAGGTCATTGAAAGAAGCACACAGTGGAGACCCGATATGACCTTTTAGTTTTTAGCTCACCTGAGCTGAAAGCTCAAGTGAGCTTTTCTGATCACCTGTTGTCCGGCATCCGTCCGTCCGTCCATCTGTCTGTCTGTCTGTCCGTCTGTAAACTTTTCACATTTTCAACTTCTTCTCAAGAACCACTGAGCCAATTTTAACCAAAGTTGGTACAGAGCATCCTTGGGTGAAGGGGAGTTTAAATTGTTAAAATGAAGGGCCGACCCCCCTTACAAGGGGAGATAATCAAGAAAAGACAAAAATTGGGTTGGGTCATTAAAAAATCTTCTTCTCAAGAACCACAGGGCCAGAAAAGCTGAAACTTATATGGAAGCATCGTTGGGTAGTGTAGATTCTAAATTATTCAAAGCATGGCCCCTGGGGGTAGGGTGGGGCCACAATAGGGAATCAAAGTTTTACATTGAAATACATTGAAATACATAGGCAAAATCTTTGAAAATCTTCTTCTCAAGAACCACTGGGCCAGAAAAGCTGAAACTTATGTGGAAGCATCCTTGGGTAGTGTAGATTCTAAATTGTTCAAAGCATGGCCCCCGGGGGTAGGGCGGGCCGCAATAAATATTACAAAGTGGAGGTGTTGTGAAGAACAGCAGGGCCAAAGTAACTCAGGTGAGCGTTGTGGCCCATGGGCCTCTTGTCTAGTTATACTCAGAGTGACTGCTTTTACATGTTAGTATAATGTTCACATATTTGTTCTTTAGGACAAGGTAGTGCACCTAATTCTGTGTTTGTTGGAGAATTTGCTAAGCTGATAGCAGAGGTAGGGTGGAAGATTGCCTCCAGCAGTAACCTTCAACCTACAGTTACCCCAGCCGGCGGGGGCATTCAGACAGAAAATATGTCAGGAAAGAGGAACTACAGCACAGACACCCCAGGGACAGTCAGTAAGAATAGAAACTTGTCTCTAAGATTGATACAATATGAATTAGCTAAAAAAATTATGTGTCTTTGAAAAAGCTTAATGAAGTATAAACAATATAAAATATGTAAAATAAAGCTTTTATTTTTTTAATTTTAAAACAGTAGTGTTTTAAAATGTGGCTTATCCCTTGCAAGTCTTTGTATAAGAAAGTCTTGATATATAATATGCCATTCCCATTGTAAACATACATACTGTATAGCGGGTTTCTTTAGCAGGTGTAAAATTTGGCATTTTGCTTGCTCATAAGTATGCCAGTATTAAATTTTGGTGGAACATTGAGTTCCACGACATTACAAACCAGTAGCATAAGAGCAGGAGCCACTTAGGGCCTTTTTTGGCCCTGCAATTTTCTGTAAAATCGAAACTGCTCAATTTTGGATGAAAATGCAGGATTTATAACTTGGACTCTTGCTGACCGTGTATCTATTGAACATGACGTAATTTTCTCTCTAGTCAATGCATTATGACGTCATAAAATGTGTCATTTTCCCATATCCTATAAATTTCCTTAAAAATGGCCAAAAGTTGAGGTATTTTTTCAATATTTCATATAAAGCACTACCTCTGATCCAAAATATGCAATTACATAATGAAAGATCTGTTTCTAAAGATCACAAAACATGTTTTAATTTTTGGATCGTTGGCTGTGCTCATATTTTAATTCTTTGCTGAAGGTAGTCAAATACGCATGTTTTCTGCAAAATTCAAGAACATTGCATTTTCTCAAAGCCTGTTTTCCAATACCTGGATTCTCAAAAAGAAATTTTGTTATAGGGAATGAAAGCACTAAGTCTCTACTTTATTTTGATATATGAAATGGGACAGAGGGTGATAGTCAATTAATTGATATAAGGACAGGGCCATTTTATGCATAAAGTGAACCTAGCTCTTTTAACACTTAATAAGAGAGTGCTTCAGGTACCTTAGATTTGTAAAGGAACACTAAAAACGATTATTTTACATTAAATGAATCAAATCATGAATTAATGTCATAATGAGGTCAATGCAGACTCAGATACAGGTAAGCGCAGAAAGAGGAAGTGTGAAACTGATCAAAGTTATCTTTCTTGTTTATTGTACTTATACACAAGGGTGCAAATTTTTAGTGAGCAAGCTACAAAACCGCTAAAAAAGCCAAAGTTATAGTACCCTGCTGAAAAATCCCACCATACTGTATGTAACAAAATTTAAGGAACTATTAACCACTTCTACAGTGTGATATAATCTACAACATACAAAATGGAAATTTATTTTTTTCACAAATGGGTGTAATATGTTGAAACAATCTGCTTAGTGTAACCAGAGACATGTACATCTCTGGTGTAACCATCCTCATAAGAAAATATATGCTTTACTTAAACAGTATGTTATTAATATGAATATGAAAACTGACCAGCATGTTCTGTTTTCCAGATCAAATGGCAGTATCCCCAGAAGGATTGTCCCCTAGGGCCAAGGACCTTTATGACCGGGTCAAGGAATTTATAGAGAAGGAAGTCAAACCAGTAGAGAAAGAGATTATGGAATTTTATAAACCTGAGCAAAACCATTGGAAAGTTTGTCCAGTGGTCCCAAGGCTGAAGGTAAGCAAGAGGGAGACAGAGATGTGAGGGTTATTCTCAGAATAAATAAACATAGAATAATAGATTTTGTTTAATTCAGTGGTTAGATAAAAGTCAATAAATTCTTAAGTGAAAACAGTTTGTTATTGTAAACAAGATTTGTTATTCAGGAAAAAGCTAAAGCTGCAGGATTATGGAACTTGTATCTCCCGAGGGAATCAGACCCAGGGATGAAGTACGGGGCGGGTCTCTCAAATCTGGAGTATGCATTCATGTGTGAGGAGATGGGAAAATGTCCCTTATCATCAGAGGTACCATAATAAGCTCATTACAAAGCTCACAGAATGTTAATCAGCATTTGAAATTGGAAATTGTAGTTGTTTCATTTGTTTGTTTAGGTGTTTAACTGCCAGGCCCCTGATACAGGAAACATGGAGGTCTTGGTAAGGTATGGGACAGAGGAACAGAAACGACAGTGGTTATTGCCCCTGCTCAATGGAGAAATCAAGTCCTGCTTTGGCATGACAGAACCTCAGGTATAGATCAAAATACCAATATTCATTTTTGTCCTGAAATGGACTATTTTTCTGATGCTTATACCTGATTTAATCTCTCATTGGTCCAAAAATATGTCAATTTAATAAGAACTTCAATTATAGACAGTTCCACTTTTTTTTCCACACTATTTTTGTTGTAACACTGTTTCTTGTTACAGGTTGCTGTATGCTGTGTTGAGCTCACTCAAATTAATAACTGTTATTTTCTGTTTGTTTATTTTTAAGTGAAAATAAGGCTAGTAAATGAGAGAGTTTTATTTTTTCTACTCTTTAGGTCACCTGAGTCACTCAGATGACCAAATTGCTGTCTGTTTTTGTCTGCCGTCGTCCACAGTTCATCATGCGTTAACATCTGAACATTTTCTCTGGAACCACTCAATCAGTTTCAACCAATTTTGGCATATTGCATCTATGGGTGAAAGGGGTTCTGGTGTTAGGATGGGGCTCTATAGATCATAAAGTGAAAAAGCACAAATTCTCTCCTTCTGTATATTTAGCAGACAAACTAAGTGCATAGATATGATGAGCAATGTGCTTCTTCCAAAATTATGAAATTTGTGGCCCTTGGGTCAGGGGTCCTGACGTTAGGGCAGGGTTTTATTGGTCATATAATGAAAATGCATTAATTCTTTGAAAATCTTCACACAAGTGAGTTTCTGAGTTGTTGGGATGTACCAGACTAACTATTTTGTTGATCTGTGATCATCCTATTTCTCTTGGTTTTTTTGGGGGGTCTCCATTTATTTTGTGTAATTACATAATTATCTACCATTTCATGAATCTTTTACAGGGTTGTATTATACTCAGGTTACCATTAAGGCCCCTGGGCCTCTTATTACTCTGATGATCTTTATTTCCCTGATTTTCTTAGGTAGCTTCTTCAGATGCCACAAATATTGAATCCTCCATCACCAGAGAGGGGGATCATTATGTCATTAATGGGCACAAATGGTGGACTTCAGGTATTATGTCATGTTAGAATGTAATCTTCAAAGTAATTTACAGCCAGTGCTCATATTTACATCTAGAGGTATTATATCATGTCAGAGTGTAATCTTAACAGTAATTTACAGTCAGCGCTCATATTTGCATCTTCTGGTAATATATCATGACAGAGTAATAATCTTCACAGTAATTTATAGGCGGTGCTCATATTTACATCTTAAGGTATTACATCATGTCAGAGTGTAATCTTCACAGTAATTTATAGTCAGTGTTCATATTTACAGCTGACTGGTATTACACCGTGTCAGAGTGTAATCTTTACAGTGATTTACAGTCAGTGCTCATATTTACAGCTTACTGGTATTACATTGTGTCAGAGTGTAATCTTCATAGTAATTTACAGTCAGTGTTCATATTTACATTTTGAGGTATTACATTATGTCAGAGTGTAATCTTCATAGTAATTTACAGCCAGTGCTCATATTTACAGCTTACTGGAATAAGTTGTGTCAGAGTGTAATCTTCATAGTAATTTACAGTCAGTGTTCATATTTACATTTTGAGGTATTACATTATGTCAGAGTGTAATCTTCATAGTAATTTACAGTCAGTGCTCATATTTACATCTAGAGGTATTACATCGTGTCAGAGTGTAATCTTCACAGTAATTTACAGCCAGTGCTCATATTTACATTTAGAGGTATTACATTATGTCAGAGTGTAATCTTTACAGTTATTTATAGTCAGTGCTCATATTTACATCTAGATGTATTACATCATGTCAGAGTGTAATCTTTCCAGTAATTTACAGTCAGTGCTCATATTTACATCTGGAGGTATTACATTGTGTCAGAGTGTAATCTTCATAGTAATTTACAGTCAGTGCTCATATTTACATCTAGAGGTATTACATCATGTCAGAGTGTAATCTTCACAGTAATTTACAGTCAGTGCTCATATTTACATCTAGAGGTATTACATCATGTCAGGGTGTAATCTTCACAGTAATTTACAGTCAGTGCTTATATTTACTTCTGGAGGTATTACATCGTGTCAGAGTGTAATCTTCATAGTAATTTATAGTCAGTAGTCATATTTACCTCTGCATTTCTTTGACATAAAATTCTGCAATGTTTATTATTATTATTGAAAATCCTGCAACAAAAGAAACCAAAAAAAAAAGAGGCAGGGAACCAATATAAATATTAGAATAGATTTACTTAGTATCTTTTTGTAAGTCACTCATTAGATTTGTACTATTATGCAGATAATACAGCCCCAAAATAGTTGAATTTCAACTTTCAAGAAATTTCAATTTTTTTTAAAAAGTAAAACTGTATTTGATGTAAATAAACCAATTGACAGGTGCTTTACACCCAGACTGCAAAGTCTGTATATTTATGGGGAAAACAGACAAGTCTGCTGCCATACACAGACAACAGAGTATGATCCTTGTCCCAATGGATGCCCCCGGGGTGAAAGTTGTCAGACCCCTCACAGTGTTTGGCTATTTAGACTATCCAGGTCAGAAAAAAAGTCACATTTTATTTTCTTATGAAAAATTTCTGTTGAATCTTTTTAATATTTCTAATTCATTTATAAATTTTTACTTAAATTAATTAATGTGGTGAAATTTTCCTGTTTTATTTTTTTTTTAACAGCTGGGCATGCAGAGGTGATATTTGAAAATGTCAAAGTTCCTTTAGGCAACATGTTACTTGGTGAGGGGCGTGGTTTTGAGATTGCTCAAGGTCGCTTGGGTCCCGGCAGGATTCACCACTGTATGAGACTTATTGGCAATGCTGAGAGAGCCCTAGAACTCATGCTGGACAGAGTATGTCTATATACTAACTCAATATGTTTAGACACCTACATATTTCATTTTAAGCACATAGAGTTAATGAATTCATGATCGATAATTTACACTACTTATTCTACCTCATACTAATGTAGTGAGCTGCAATCAGCCTTGATATGATGGCTTCAAAATATGTATCTTTAATCTTTAGACTCAGAATAGAGTTGCTTTTGGAAAGCCTCTGGCAGCACAAGGAACCATACAGCAAGATGTGGCCAAGTCTAGGATAGAGATTGAACAGACCCGTCTGTTGGTGCTCAAGGCAGCCCATATGATGGATAACTATGGCAACAAGGCAAGAAAAAAAAGCACAAAAATAACAACTTCAGAGCTTGAAATCATAATCAAAGTATCAGTCAGAATTGTAAAATATGTAAATGATTGGATTGTTCTGCATTAGAATAACTTCTTTAATTGTCGTGTCTAAACAGGTGGCAGCTCCAGAAATAGCCATGATTAAGGTGGCTGCTCCCAACATGGCTCTCAATGTAATTGATCGTGCCATACAGGTAATACAGCACAGTAATTATCAAATATCTACATGTATACTTCATAAACAGAGCTGTATGTACATTGAATCTCCTTACCTCACACTTAAAGCACTCACCATAGTATTGGAACACACATTCCACTGGTCAACCTAATTGCAGCAAAACCTGCATGTTTACTGTAAACCAACTTTTATTCGCGTGCGAGATGGAAATATCCACGAGTTTCACGGCCTACTCTAACTCGCGAATATTAATCGCCATTAACCATTTATTTTGTTTTGTACTTGTAGAGAATGTTTCCTCAGTCACAAAATTAATTGTCACAAATTGATTTTAAATGGACTAATCACGAATAAAAGATGATGTGAATAATAGTTGGTTTACAGTATGCAATTTCTTTTAAACAAAATATGCTGTGTTTGATTTCAAAGAAACCAGAACTGGATTCTAATCTGTACTGTTTCACTAACTTGGAATTCTCACATTATCTGGGCCCAGGGCCATAAAACTTAGACAAGCTCAATTTTGAGCTCAATCTCACTTTTTCTTTATAAATTCCTTTGGTAAAAGTGAGACTGAGATCGAAAGTTAGTTCATCTAAATTTTATGGCCCCAGAGCCTGGATTCCTGAATCAACCAGTTCACCTCTAAAGGTGGTCTCTCTTGGATTTAAGATGTATGAATATTTTTTATTGCCAAGTAGACAGAATTTATTGAATATGGTTTTACTGAAATCAATCACAGCTTTAGTATATCTTATAAGGACTTATTTTAAACTGGTTCCCTTTTAGGCCCATGGTGGAGCTGGTCTGAGTGACGATTTTATTCTTGCCGGATTGTTTTCCTGGGCCAGAGTTCTGCGACTTGCAGATGGCCCAGATGAGGTTCATCTCCGAAGCATTTCACGACAGGAATACAGAAAATATAATTTATCAAAACTTTGACAGGTGTGAGGCATTTCTGCATGTACGTTTATCCAATATTTTAAAAGGCCATTGAGCGAGTCCATGAGTGGAAAAGTACAGAAATATCTATCCATAAAGGATGATTCATATTTTAGTACTACCACTTCCAGCAAATATTCATGAACACTGCTTAAGAGTTATTTTATTTAAATATTATTCATAGAAAAAACTGAAAGCTTTAATTCATGATTACGCCAAATAGTCAGCGACATCTATGCTGAAGTTTGAACATGCTAAGTTGGACCATGTAGAGTATATTGGTTGTATTTTATGTACCAGGGGTGGCACATTGTACAAGGAGTGTTTAAGTATCTGAGAAAGATTTTGTCAAACATCTTGTGCTTCAATCTCATGGCTATATGATATTGTTGCAGTAACACAGAAACACAGATGACCAAGTACCATTAGCCTGCAGTTATTCTTCAATTTTGATGTAATTTCAGTAGACCTGGAACATGACTGTATTTTATTGAATGTGTACTACCCTAATGATGATTGTTTACTACACACGGCTTAAATTGTTGCTAAATGTCCTATTTCATAATGAGTTTTATCAGTTTCAGAATACTTTACTAGTTCTAGATTTTGACGTGTTTCTTCAATGTTTATTATTGCATTATAACAATAACTAATATTTTATTGTCAGGTTTTGTTTTTCAGGTCTACGGTGGTGCTGGCGTATCATCTGATTTCTGTTTGGCTAGACTGTACACAAGTGCTCGTGTGTTACGCTTGGCTGATGGACCAGATGAAGTTCATTTGCGGCAGGTTGCCAAGTTTGAGTACAGAAAGGCCAAATTATAAATACCACTTCAATTGACTATTCAGTATGTCTGTGATGATTTTTTTAAAACTGTGATTTCATTGAATCAATGTTACACACTGTATTATAGTGTGAACTCCCACAATAATCATGTCCTATAATGAAATTATGATGTTACATGTATATGCCTATTGTTATATTATTTTTATACAGAATAAAACAAATTACATCATATTCCGCATACAGATGTATAAAAGTATAATAATACTGTAAATATAATTTTTTCCACAGGTCATAATTCTGCGGAATTACAATTTCTGTTCAATCTACGGGTAGGAAATTATGTGGATTTCTTGGACTGTCATTGTATTTCTTAAATGTACTTTCAGTTTACTTGGACACCCCTCTCCCATTGTCAAATACTTGCTGATGCTCCTGCCTCATTTATAGATTATGAATGGAACTTACATGAATCTTCCTTAGAACAATAAGTATACCTGTGATAGAACAATAAGTATACCTGTGAGAAATACCTGCAGAAAATTTGTGATCGCATATGTAGCAAATATTCATTCCATGCTGAAAAAACCATGTCTACAGTAATTTGGTGTATAGCCATAAATCTTCATAAAAGCAAGTAACTAGTTATTAACCAAAGTTTCAACTTATTGTTTAAAGGTGACCCATTGCTATCTGTTTTTGTCTGTAAGCTCTTGAACATTTCAGCTTCTTCTCTGGAAGTGCTGAACCAATTTCAGTCAATTTCGGTATATAGCGTCAATGTGAAAATAATGCACTTTGCATGTTGGGCTAGATTTATTATTGTTCATGGATGAAGCATCAGAAAACTGGGGTTTTTAAAAAGAAATTGAGATTTTGTTGAAATTCATATATGTTGATGAGGATTGTATTTGGCACTACAATTTCTAGAGATTTTGAAAAACTAGATGTGTCATTGTGACACAAATGTCCCCCGCTGATGAGCAATTTCAAATATTTGAAAGTCTAATACAAGGATATGAAAATACTTAAGGCTGGAAATAAGAAATAAGTTTTCTATGAAATTATTCAAATAATTCCTGTGTTAAATACTATGAGAAGAAAAAATGCTAGTGAAAGTTCAATATTGCTAGTAAAAAAAAACATTCCACTAGGTAAAATTTGCTAGTGGTCAAAAAAGTAACTTAAGTTAATTACGATCCCTGTTGCTTATTCTTTAATATGTGTATAGAAGATTCTTTTTAATATATAGAATATTTATTACACTGTAATAATGATTTTATGAGTTTGTACACGTCAGACGTCATAACCTTTTCGTTTCACATGTTGAATAGTATCATTTACCGGTAGTAAATCCAAAAAAAAAAAAAAAAATTAAAAAAAGGATCGTCCGGGATTTGAACCCGTGACCTTTCGATTGCTAAGCAAGCATCATACCCTTAGACCACAGAGGCACTTGGTTACACACCAAATTAAATGCAAACATTAGGTCACATATAATGTTTACAAAGAATATTCACGTTCGATATTGTCAAAATTTTACACAATACATGGTGTCTAATTTAGCCTTTACTAAACAGTTCTAATAGATGTAATTAGAATATAAAGTCCGCCGACAACCTGTATTATACGTAATAACTTTACACATGCCCCTGTGTTAAAAATAGTGCTAAGCGACTTTTAATATAATAAATAAAAAAAAATGGGGCGGGACACTTTGAGAGGGGCGAGAGAGGCCATAGGGAGTTATGGTATAAAAAATTTCATTGCAAAAGCTCAAAAGCTTCTTGAGATATCGCCTGGAAACGAAAGTGTTACACACAGACGGAATGTATGAATTTACGACCTTGAACTTTGACCTTTTGACCTCAAAATCAACAGGGGTCTACCTTAGGCTACAGGGAGTTGTTTCATTGCAAAAGCTCAAAGGATTCTCAAGATATCGCGCGGAAACGAAAGTGTTAAAACAGACAGAATTTATGACCTTGACCTTTGACTTTTTGACATAAAAATTAATAGGGTTCTTCTTTAAGCCATAGGGAGTTGCTATGTAAAATTTCATTGTGAAAGCTCAAAGGGTTCTAAAGATATCGCACGGAAACGAAAGTGTTATTGACAGACAGAAATACAGACGGATGGATGGACGGACAGACAGACCCAAATTAATATCCCCCACTTTCAGTGAAAGCGGGGGGACAAATAACTTTATATATATCAGTATTGTATATCTGCTGATTTAAAAAAAAAATGAATAGTTTGGAAAAAAAATTCTGAGATTGTATTACAAATGTCTGTCATGTAATGTAGAGACCTATTTGATGTGATTGTGGAGTCGTCCAAAGTTGGAGCACGGAAACCAGAGAGAACCCATACCGAAATAAATTATAACTTAGTTATAACTTTTGTAACTAAAAAAAGGTACAAAAAAGTTATAACTAAGTTATCGGAGTTTGGAACCGCCTGTTTTAAGTGAGGTATAATTTAGTTATAACTTAGTTACAAAAAAGTTATAACTTTTGTATAAGTTTTCATTTTTTATTTCAACATAAATACAGCAAGTGCAAAAAGTTACAAAAAAGTTATAACTACAAAAAGTTATACTTCTTAAAAGTTACACAAAAAGTTATAAAAAAGTTACAAAGTTATACTTTAGTTATACCCAAATAAACGGTGGAAAAAGTTACAAAAAAGTTATACCCGGAAAAAGTTATTTAAAAAGTTATAAAAAAGTTATACTTAATAAAAAGTTATGAAAAAGTTATAACTAAAAAAAGTTATACCCATGAAAAGTTATAACTTTAAAGATTATGAAAAAGTTACAGAAAAGTTATAACTATGAAAAAGTTATGAAAAAGTTACAGAAAAGTTATACCTAAAAAAAAGTTATAACTACAAAAAGTTATACCTAATAAAAGTTATACCTAATAAAAGTTACAATAAAATTATACACTTCATGTTAACCTGTGGTGGAATTACTCAATTATAGGTTTTAAAAAAGCTACTCATTAAAATTTTTACAAAAAAGATTATTAAAATTTTTACAAAAAAGATTATCTAAAAAAAATTAAAAGCACTTACAATTTTATTTTATAAACATGATTAAGAGAGCTTGGTTCATTGTCAAATACAATTGAATGAATGCACATTCATGTTTTCAAGTCTACCTTATTTTTCATCAAGCCATCATAACAGATTGAAATTTCTCAGAATGGTTGTTTTCTTAAAATACATTTTTTTAGCATATAGTCATAAGAGTTTTTGTAAAATTACCTAGTAAACTGCATTCTACTCTTGTGAACTTTTATAAATAGGCATCACTGCCTAGATTTTAACTCTCTAGTTTTTCATGTTAGCGCCATGATCTAGCTGTACTTCAAAAAAAAAAAAAAAAAAGGTTCTAAGCAGTGATTTCGGTCACCGTTCTTAGCTGCATACCACTCCTTGCACAGGTATCCTTGTGGATGTACAGTTGTGATTTTTATCTGGATTATTTAAAGACGGGCTGCACCAGTAGTTGGCCGAGCTGGTCGAGGGACTGGGCCGTCCGGCCAGCGGTCTGCGCCCCTTGACAGGTTGTACTGGTAGTAGGCTGAAGTGGTCATGGGACTTGGCCGGCCAGCAGTATGTTCCCCTCGACAGGCTGCACTGGTATTTGGCTGAGCTGGTCGAGGAACTTGGCCGGCCGGCAGAGGGTCTGCGCCCCTCAATGGCCTGCACTGGTAGTCGTCCGAGTCTTCATTTGAAATATGCTTGCAATTTCAACCTTCTTTTCATTTTTCTTCAATTCTGCAAAAATTAAAAAGGTTCAAACTTTAAATATTTTAATTTTTTCTTTTAAAAAAAAGTTGAAGTGTTTCCTGCACTCAAAGCATATCAGATTGGAACCACTCTTTAATATCAATTCATTCAAATTCAAGGCATATGCATCTATAACTTGGAAAACAAGAATTAGAGTTCTGTTGTGTAATTGAGAAAATTCAACCTCAAGGCTCATCACATAAACATGCATTAAAAAAATTTTAAACATAAAGAACAATATAGAATCTGACAGCTTTATAGGAATTAGCTTTAGATTTATCGAATTTGAAATATAAGATAAGATTTGATTATTTACTTACCTAAAACAGGTGATATTTTTGAAGGATTTCACTCCAGCTTGGCACAGACATGAGATGCTCATGGAAAGAAATAATGTACCAGTATACTGCTGAAATTAAATAAAAATTAGAAATTTTATTTTACTCATTTCAGTACACTATATCATGTTATGATCATGTGGTGTTTAAAGGCTACAATATGTACAATATTAAAACAGTTCAGAGAATCTGTTAAACAATTACACAATATAGGTCATTTAATAATTAAACTGATCTATAGGAATATTTAAAGAATTAAATATGACAAAGAATAACATTTTTTGTTCCTATACTAAATGCTGAAAAAATATTATGTTTCAATTTCTTCACTTCAGTCTTTGTCATTGACATACCAATCAAAACAAACAAGAAATCTGAGATTCACATGCCTAGAATTTTGTTCGTTCTACATATTTCTTCTTTTTTGAATGCCCATCTAGAGGTAATAAACATTTCCTACCAAAAACATCAAAATATTAACATAAATATTGCCTTACCGAATGATTTTGTCATCGTTTCTCTATTAACACTTTCAACACGCCAACATTCAAATCGTCCATGAAAAAATCCGCGCTCTGTTGTTGACCAATCAGAGACTTAGAATAAGTCACGTGATTGAAAATAAATAAATAAATAATTCATAATTAATTTATTTTAAATCCAAAAAAACATAATTGTGTATTTTGAAACTTATCTTAAATATTAAAAAGCCAGTTGGTGTTAAAATTTTGAAACAGAGTTCCAACAAAACGGACAAAACGGACGTCGGGGCCGCCATATTTGTGTCGTTGCCGCCATTTTGAATTTAATATTTTATTTATTTATGAAAATAACTAGTAAAACTGGGTTATTTAATCAGGCAAATAATAAAATCCACATGTCCTAGTCTTCTGCTAAAATTTTAATATAACTGGCAGTCTTTATTCCCAACATCGTAATATCTGTTAATAAATGAACATACACACACTGTATGTTGTTGTTTATCTTTCTAGCCACCCTTTTTACGATTGATTTACTTTAGATTTCAAACAACCTTTGTAAAATTGTACTATTGCGTAATACACAAGCTGAAATTTACGAAGTGTAGGCCCAAAAGGT